CTTATACCGAGGAAGAAGGGTGATTGGATAATGTAAAGGCGAAGTTGTCCCTGTGCTTAACTAACTAAGCACTACGCCATGAAGGCGTATGGAGATGTGGATGTAGAGATTCACATTTTCTTGACCTCGGCACTATTTGGAGGTGAGTGGTCAGCTTCACGCCGCGGCTGCTTTATACTCGGCGAAAAAAGCCCCCGGTACCCATTGGATAGGAGGATGGGTGGACCCCAGGGACGGTCTGGACGACGTGCAGAAGAGAAAATTTGACCCTACCGGGACTCGAACTCCGACTTCTCGGTCGTCCAGCCCGTAGCCAATCGCTATACCGACTGAGTTATCCCGGCTCATAATAAGTTGCATTTAAGACGGAAATGTACGTGTGCAAATGATAAATCAGCTAGTGGTGTTACATTTTACGCGAACACTACGTAATATCTTTGTCTGCATCTGTGAATGTATCTCGTAGCTTGAGTAGGTGGTCGGCCTTAAGGAAGAAAAGTCCTGCTTGTTCAGGAATATGTCCGGTACGGCCATTATGGTTCGCACCGTATGTTGACAACACAATCTAGTAACTTTCTAATGATGGCGCAACTGTCCACGTCACTATCTGATATTGACGCAGCACTTTCAGAGATGTTTAGCACACAGCACATACAGCACAGGATAAAAGCAAGGAGATTGCACGACTCGCAGAGTCGTCAGAGAGCAAAACACGGTCGTGAGTCCCGCGGGACCCGGAACCAAGAATGACCGTGCTGACGAGACCAGCAGAAATTTACCCGCCCGACTTATGGCCCCAGAAGACATTGGTAGAAAAAATAACATATTAAACAATAACTGAGCAAGCGTAATAAATGTCCCCTGTGTCTAAACCTCACTCCACACAACGATATACAGCATGCATGGAAGAGATAAGAAATGCATACACAGTTTCGGTCGAAAAACAGACAGGAAAAGACAACCTCATGAAACTGTGAGTGATGGTAAGGTAAAGTTGTCAAAGTGTTTAATTAATTAATCAACACGTCATAAAGACGTAGGGTGAATAAATATATAGCTCCACCATTTTTGACCTCGGCATTAGATGAAGGTGAGTGATCAGCTTCACGCTCTGGCTGCTTTATCCCTGGGGAAATGGCCCACGGTAAGAGAGTAAGAATGAGAGTGTAATATTAAAATTGATCGTAGAGAAACAGAGTGGAAGATGGTTGACTGGGTCTATTTGGTAAAGAAGAAGAGAGCAATGGTGTGCTCATGTGAACATGGATTAGAAATTTGTTTCCGGAGGAGGACTTTTCAAGAAGGATCCTGCTTAAAACAGTTGGAGTGACGAGGAAGAGCTATGCCGAGTTGTCATCCAGCCAATCAGCAACTTGACTGCCACTTCTAGAAGCAATCTTGATTACCTATTCGCTCATAAAATGCTAAAGATTAGCTTCAACTCTGATTCAACTCTTTTAACAGTGTTCATTCACCAAGGACACGATCATGAACGATTCTCTGAATGGAAAGCGGCTCGTGGTGTCTGTGATGTGAGGTGTTGAACACCCTCATGTTACTATTTGCTGACTCATCATAAAGTTTCCGTTGTACATCTGTATTGCATTTAATATTAACAAGCAGATTTATCTATTCTCTTACCGGGATACACGAGTATCACAATATACTATTGTAACAGTTCTTTTGCACCCTTAATGTCGTAGCGGACGTTACGTGGCCTTATAACCACGTCGAGGTGTCCTAGGTCCGAGCGATGAGGTTCTCTTCAGGGCTTAACGGGCCTTGCTCCGACGAGAGAGATTATTTTTATTGAAGAAGTCGCTGGATTACAATTGTGTATTGCCACAGTATTACACAGCACTGCACGACTTACAACAGTTACTCACAATCACTGATACACCTACAACTTCAATATTTACAACACTACTATACACTTAAGATGGAAGAGTTTACACCACGTTCCCAGCCTGCGTCTCTCGGACTATCCACTAACTGACTCACTGGGTTACTGAGTGCCCGTCACCCGTTTCAGTCCCTTTAAATACAGTAAGATGACGTAACATCTAGAACCTTCTCTTTCTAGATCTTCCTCGAAGCTTCTTCTACTGAGAAAATTCTAGAAGTTTCCTTTATCAGGCTGGCCGTGGGATGGGTAGTCATTGGTATACCACACCTTCTAGCTGTTCTTATCTGTACATTGCACACCGCGAATTTTTCGAACAGTTAATGCAAAACTGAATATAAGTCACTCTTGGTACAAGATTGGTATTAAGTAACAAGTATTAATATTTATGAATTAGGCCGGTAAGTAATGATCGGTTATAATATATATAGCACAGTTTCAAAACTTAAAAAATATATAGCACGCAGATTAAGATATTTAAACTTTCTCATGTAATTTAAATATCTACTGGGAATTAATTCCAGTGAATCCAAAATCGCTTCTAGAATACCTAGCTCTCATTTTACCAGCATTGGCCACCGTCCACATTAAGAATACAGTGTTCTCTTTTAGGTCCGCTATAGGAAAAGGCGCAGAAAGCGACAGGGGAAAAATATATGTAAAACAAGTATGTTATTTTTTTTTTTTCAAAAATCAATAGTCAGATAGGATCTAGTGTTATGTTTCGCGTATTTAATGTAGACAACTGGCTACAAGTCAGTTTCCATCAGGAAGGTCCTGTGACCTGTCAGCTCGATCAAGGTTTTCCCAAGTTTCCTTCGGTCATCGAGAAAATGCTGAGTTGGTACCCAAATTCCAAGTTGCCACTGCTTGCTTCACATGCAGCCCTCCCAATGTTAGATCAAATTTCACTGTAGTACAGCCCTTACGGTGTCATGTAAAAACAATTCAGTTCATAAGCATTACCTCTATCAGAAGGACCAGCGGACAATGCATAGGAACCATCAGAACTGGTGATATAGTTCCTTGCCCCCCCCCCACGAAAGTAGTGTCTCTCGCTACCGCCCTACTTTCTTTCTTTCTCTCTCTCTCTAATAACAAAAGGTAAAGTTGTCCCTGTGCTTAACTAATTAAGCACTACGCCATGAAGGCGGATGGGGGAGTGGATGTATAGATCCATATTTTCTTGACCTCGGCACTAGCTGGAGGTGAGCGGTCAGTTTCACGCCCCGGCCGCATTACCCCCGGGGAAAGAGTCCATGGCACCCATTGGAAAGGAGGCTGGGCCCCAGAGCCGTTCTGGACGACGTGGAGAGGAGAAAATTCTTGACCCCACCGAGACTCTAACTCCGACCCCTATGTCGTCCATCTCGTAGCCAGTCGTTATACAGACTGCGCTAACCCGGCTCCTAAAAAAATAATAATCCACGAAAACTGATCGTTACGAGCACAAAATATAAATGAATTACGAACATGAAGGCGAGAAACAAACAGTAAATACGTAAGAGCTTTAGCCAACAAATCATGTGCAGTCCCACTGACATCCATAATTACAAGATTACAATGACAGTTACTTATAAAGAAGTCGTGTTACTTAAATTAACTATAATTTTAATTTGTTTAGAATATACTTTTTGGCTAACAGGAACATTTGTTCTAATCAAACTAAATCAAAACTGATGTTTCACCCTGGAATTTGAGACAATGCTTCATTTATATATTAATCGCCGGTGCAAGGAATATAGGTGTCCCAGGAGGGAAGGTCAGTATTCTGGGAGGTCACAGTATGGGTCATTCTAGGCCGCGCCATAGCTCAAGCGGTTAGTCGCTGGCAGCCCGGGTTCGATCCCAGGTCTGGTCAAGTGGGATTTGTAATGGACAAAGTGGCGCTGTTGCGGGTTTTCTTCGAGTATTTCGGTTTCCCCTGCCAATCTTCATTCCACCAAATTCTCCATCATCATAATTACCCGGAGCAGGTACAATAGGCCAATCAGTGGCCGCCGTGCCGAGTGGATCCAGTTGGACTCCACCCTCCACTAAGCGAATTAAAAAAAAAAAGGGTCATTCTAAGCAAAAAATTGCACATGCACACGTGTCGTATTCCGAAGTGTTTCCGATATAGAGCTATTTCACTGTACAGTCCCAAAAGTGTTGATTAGAAAGAGATGTTAAATACTGTTTCTAATACCGGTATTTATTGTTCAAGTGACAAAATTGGCACAGTTAACCTAGTATACATGTTCGAAAATTCCACCGTCAACATCAACGCACTTTGCAACTCGTGCGAGGACATGGCGTGTTGCTCGTCTGTACAGTGAACAGTGTACTGTACAATGCAATAGCTCTATCTCGGAAACCGTTCGGAATAGGACACATGTACATATACACTTTTTTGCTTAGAATGACCGTTACTATGAGCTCCCAGAATATTGACCTTTGCTCCTGGAACACTCTGTGTAAGAGCCCCAAAAATAATATTTCTGATAATATGAGGCAAAAAAGTTCTTCGAATAGTCTGAAAATTGGTGCGACCTTGTAAATCTCTGCTCATGTAACAGGTGACGTCTGTAAAATGTCGACTTGTGGCGTTTCGAACTTCTTACTATGTTTCGCTCTTACCATACTTGTTTGGAATGCGAATTTCGTAAATAACTGAACTTACCACAGTAATCTGTTATGTGGCAGCTTATATTGAAGTATGCTTTAACACCTTAGAGGCACGTCTGTAAACAATATTCTGTTTCTCCTTGCTGGAAATAAACCTGTATTTCCCAGGCTAAAATAAGATCAAGTCAAGGAGGATGAGGTGGGCAGGGCATGTAGCACGAATGGGGGAGAAGAGGAATGCATATAGGATATTTGTGGGAAAGCCAGAAGGAAATGGACTACTGGGAAGACCAAGGCGTAGGTAGGTGGACAATATTAAAATGGATCTTAGAGACATAGGATGGGATGGTATAGATTGGATTGATCTGGCTCAGGATAGGGACCAGGGGAGTGTTCTTGTGAATACGACAATGAACCCTCGGGTTCCATAAAATGCTGGGAAATTCTTGAGTAACTGCAGAATTGGCTTCTCAACAAGGGCTCAGCTCCATGAGTAAGTAAGTAAGTAATATAATTCTTTCTCATCATTATTTTACACGTAGGATTTTAGATTGTCACACCGGTGTTTATGAAGGGTACTTACTGTCTACTGGCATATAACGCCGTGTAGTCCGTTGAAAGCCAACTGACGTTTCGGAGGTATATATCGCCTCTATGGTCGAATAAGCCAAACAAGATACCAGCGTGAAAGCAGGTATCGAGCAGAGTTAGTACTGTCTTGCTCAGATTATTTGTAGACCCTGAAGATGGAGACGATATTGTTCTCCGAGACGTCGGTTGATTCGGCGTTATATGCCAGAAGATGGCAGTCTTCATCATTTTATACATTAGAACTATTTTTAAAAATGGATGTTCAGTCACAGCGATATCTCTTATCACAGTTTACAGACTTTATCTTATGTATTCACACCACAGAGATTTCCATTCGGAATGGTAAGTCTTTGTTCTCAGAACATGACCTCTGCACAGCGCTGTAATCCAGCATGACACATTTTCCATGTCGAAAAACGTCATTTACATTTTCATAATAACTGTGAGTCAGAGACGAGGCGGAATAAGTGTCTCCATCTTTCGTTGAAATTGAAAACCTGTATCTGAAGTTATTAGCACCTTTCTTTGGTCCAATATAAAACACAGCACAGTAGAAAACACCGCTTTGCACCCTCCAGCTTACATAAAACAGTTCATCCATTGTTATTATGGCTTGGTAGTACCTCTGGGAACACGACACGTTATGGAGCACAGTTTTGAATTTCCTTGATACACGCTGGACGCAACTTCCTTTGTGATTGGCTTCAACGTGTCTCCTCACAGTATCCAAAGTACCTCTCCAATTACACCCTGTATTTGATATCTTGGCAAATGGACACTTGTGATTATCAAACGTACACTCATCTGCATGAGGTCTAATTAGGTTTTTAGTGAGCAGTTTTGTACACCCTCTCAGGGTGTTTTTGCAAGGATACAATGTTTCTGTTGCTATGTTCTCCAGGGAAACGTTTCGCACCTTCAGGAACGGTCCCCTGCAGATTGGACACTTATCCAGTGTTACCCTACAGTTACAACAGAGGTTGTGCCCATTGTTGCAAAGCATGATGGGTGGCATCATGTACTCCATACAGACTGGACACTCCAGTTCTTGCAGAAGCCGATTATGGAATCCCACTGCTAAGTTGCTCATGTTGGTCTATGGTTTGGCACAAATCCCAAGTTCGTTTCCTGAAAGAAATATCAATCAGTTTTAATGTCCGTCATTGTTCTACGCATCACAGCTGTGACTGTTAGGCACACAAATGTCATGGTTCAAGTGTATGCGGCGCAGAAGCTACGTTCTGATGTCAGAGTTGAGGTTCACGCTACTGTGACTACGAAGTTGATTGTCTTCTGACTTCCCTTTGCCACTCAGACCCAGAATTTCCCCCCATTCTGTCCTTCGAAAACGACCCTCTAATACCAAAAGCCATTACTTCTGTTGTCATTAATTTCGCTATTGGTTCAGGCCTTTGGTCCAAATCCTCCAATTACATACTGTATTACGCAGTAGTGTAGTTGGTTGAGGCACTATGCTACAAGCCTGAATGTCGCGGGTTCGATTCCCGATGAGGTCATTGGATTTCTTTTAATTTACCTAATTCTTCTACACGCACTATGGCCCTGGGGTCGACTCAACCTCTAACACCAGGAACCTTCCTTGGGGTAAAAAGCGGCCGGCCGGCTCGTAAGGCTGACCTTACCGCCACCTGATTCGATTGTCTACAAAATGTGGGAGCCTCGACGTCTCACAACCGTATAAGCGTCCACGGCCTGTTACAGGCACAGATTTGTCCTATTTTACATTCAGTTACCTATATTTTTCCACACCCAACTTACTCTTAGACCCTTAAGATATAGGCTGTAAGTTACTTAAAACGTCGTTAAACTTCTACCAGACTACACGGCGCCACATCCCAAAAGATAACAACAGTCTTCACAGTTATCGCCATGAGAACTTCCAGCCCTATGTTAAGTAGGCATTTTAAAGGATCCAGGATTTAATTAAATGCAGTTAACAGGATAACGAAAACATTCATCGTGAACAGCAGGCAATATGTTCCAGGGATTGTCAGGTTACACATCTTTAATTACCCAGATGTTCCACAACGTGAAATGATAATCACATCGCAAGAACAACTGAAGATCTCCAATGGCAAATTGTATCGTAATCCAATGTAACGCTGCTTATTCGCAGCTGCTCTGGACTCTTTGAATGCTAGAGTGCCATAAGTGCGAACTAACAGTTGTGTACGAAATAGAACAAAGAATCACGGTGACTAGAAATAGTGAGTATTTAAGTAAGAAAATGAAATAAGAAATATATCGAAGTTCCCACATTTTCTATACAATCGGCTCACAGTTGGCGGTGAGGTTGTCAGCCTTAAACGCCGAGCGGCCGCCCTTTGCCCCCAAGAATATTCCTGGTACTCATTTTTGTTAGAGGCTGAGTCGAAACCAGGGCTATAGTGCGGCTGGAAGAGAATCGAACCCGCGACTTTTAAGGATCATGCACCGCCAGCAGACGACAGGCCGAGTCGGAAAATCTGCCGCCTGTCGGCGAGCCCTGCTGTGTCTGTTTTATCCCATCTGATGCAATAGAGCTACGCGCCGAGTCGGCGAAAACCGCTCCGTGTGTCATGAGCCTAATGTTCTGACTGCTCTAGAGCCTTCAGAACGAGTCATTTCGTCTTGGCGCCCAGCCCCTAGAGGATCACGAGCAAAGATTTTTTTTTGTGACTGAACCCTTGCCGTCATGGTCCTTATATAACATCCTCTCTAAGGAGATGAGTGTGTCTCTTATGAATACGCTTGGCCTTTGTCAAGTGTAAGTATCGCACTTGTAGCGTGTTATTGAAAATGTTTGCATTTGTCACAATAGCCGGTGGCAATCCGTGGAGGCTGTTTTCCTCTTTAGTCATTTCGGAAGGGATGACAGATTTATTGGCGAGTTAGGACTTGTTACTCTTATCTGGATAAAAGACAACAAATTGCCGTTTCATACAATCAGTTTGAGTGACCGGACAGGGACAATGTCACCACAGGACGAAAATCTGTAATTTTCTGAGAAAGTGAATTCTGTTTATCTGACATGTGTAGCTGTCATAATTCATAGAAATTTTAATTGGCGCTAGTGAACAGGTTGGTCTAGAGGTAACGCAGGGAGACCTAAGTGTATGTTGCTGTTTTGTCACCAAAATGCAGGGCAAAATGATGACATAAAGACAGCTAACACATGTTTTGAAAATTTGGCAGAGTTCAGATATTTGGGATCGCCAGTAACAAATCAAAATTTGATTCAGGAGGAATTAAGAGGAGATTGAACTCGGGTAATGCTTGCTACCATTCAGTCCAGAACCTTTAGTCTTCTCGTCCGCTGTCTAAACACATAAAAATTAGGATACACAAAACTATAATTTTGCCTGTAGTTCGGTATGGGTGTGAAACTTGGCCTCTGACGTTAAGGGAGGAACATAGACTGAGGGTGTTTGAGAACAGGATGTTGAAGAGAATATTTTGACCGAAGAGAGACGAAGTGACAGGAGGTTGGAGAAAACTGCATAATCAGGAGCTTCATAACTTGTACTCTTCTCAAAGTATAATTATAATGATGAAGTCAAGGAGGATAAGATGGGCAGGGCATGTAGCACAAATGGGGACGAAGAGGAATACATGCAGGATATTGGTGGGAAAGCCAGATGGATAGAGACCACTGGGAAGACCAAGACGTAGGTGGGTGGACAATACTAAAATGGATCTTAGAGAGATCGGATGGGATGGTATAGATTGGATTGATCTGGTTCAGGATAGGGACTATTGGAGGGCTTTTGTGGACATGGTAATTAACCTTCGGGTTCCATAAAATGTTAGAAAGTTCTTGAGCAGCTGCACAACTGACGGCTTCTCAAGAAGGGCTCATCTCTGTGGAGTTAGTTAGTTAGTTAGGTGTCATAATGTGTCTTCGGCAGGGTGTAGCAGAACCCTAACCTGAAGATTTTAACTGCTTTGACATGCGAGGATCTGAGTTCTATCTTCGGGAACTGCTTTGTTTTCAAAAGTCATTACGTGTTTGGCTTATGCTCATTGCATAATAACTTTGGCTGGTTAAAATTAGCAAATTTGAGAGGAATTCTGTCTCGGAGGGGATGTCGTCAATTCAGATACATCTTGGGGAATACAGCGACGCTCCTGCAACATACTTGTCCTGGGGGACTTGGCGTCTTAAATTAATCGGAGTCAGACGTGACTCGGCTGCAAGCCTCATGTTTGTCTGAAGTAATCACTCCTTCATTTTGGAACGTTAAATTTTAGTAATAATAATAATTCTTGATAGCTCGATAGGTTTCGCTTTCGAATAAACAGACAATTTGTTAACATTGGAAGTTGTTCTGGTATCATTGATTTGGAACAGTGGACTGGCTTCAAGCGTACAGCTACGGGTTGCGTAAGCTGTTACTGTGACACGGTCCTGAGAGAGCTGGATGGCCTACCGAAGCCAGCATAGAAGGGTTACTTTCCAATCCGAGCATCTCGCGACTCAGGAACGTTGCAAGGACACCAACTTATTCGATAGAAGGGGAAATGAGATACAAAAATATAAAGAACGAAAGGAATGAAAAGGGGGCGAAGAATGACACAAAAAGGAGGCAAAAGTGGAATACAAATAAGTTTTATAACACGGCGCAACAAATTTTCACAAAGCTGGGGTAGACTCACGACAAAAATTACAGTCATGCAGGCGGAATGCACACAGTTATCTTTAAGGAATGCATTCTGTTGTGTGTTAGTAATATATATATATATATATATATATATATATATATATATGTGTGTGTGTGTGTGTGTGTGTGTGTGTGTGTGTGAGTGAGTTATTGGTGTGTGTTTTTGTTGTGCCTGGCAGGTAAAACGAAAACTCATATATACAGAGCACAGATATTTTATCCTATTACGTAATTCAAATTAATAACGCCACTTAAAATGCAATTCTATTCATTAATAAAGCACCATTTTTTGTAAACTTATGGTTGACACACGTTAAAAAATACCAAGAAAAGTACAAAAGAAATAAGAGAACTCGCAATTTTGATTCAAAAATCAAGTGAGATTTTTTTATTATTATTGTTATTATTTTTTGGCTCTGTTAACACAATTATTTGTATAGACACAGCATATGATATAAATTTACTACATATTTCGCCCTTTCGGCTACCATAAGATACTAACACAATGTACACCCACCTTCACTTCATCCAATGTTCTTCCCCGTATTGGACAAAATTATCTGACAAGCGATAAAACATTTCTAACAGTTGTCGAACATAATGTCAGTTTCGTTGTAACCACGTTTGTAATCATTGTATCACAATTAATTCAAGAAGATTTTTTTACGTTACCATAGTAAACTTGTTAACTGGTCTATTCAATCGTTCAGTCACGTACCGGTCCAGCAAGGTTCCAGTGCGCAGTGCAGAGTTAAGCACAACACAGTTCCCTGTCAGGGTCGCTTGACTCCACTCCTGCGAGATCAAGAACTGCAATACCCACGCAGCTTCTCTCTTACGGGTTTATATAAACGCAGACAGCGCCCCGGGGATTTTCCATGAACACCGTGTGACGCAAGGCAACAATATTTATTATCCGCACACGTGGTCTGCTATATGCCACTGGCATATTTAAACTTTACTGACAGATTTTAGGCTTTGTGGAAAACGGAATTATTCTCCTTTCTTCTTTTATCCCTTTACTTCCCTCCCTTCTTCAACGCTTTCCGCGTGCTATCAGTATCTAGACTATACAGCGTTGAGTGGTGGGGACAACAGACGAACGCTCAATTGGTATTTTTTTTTTAAGTTGTCATAAAGTAATCCATGTACTATGCCGGTATTTGCCTTGCAGAACTGGGGAAATCCATGAAAAACCTCATGCTCGATAGTCGGTGACCCTCTTTCTTCAGCTCTTTCAGCCTACAGAACATACCCAATGTGTAAATGTTGTTGCGTGTTGCCTATGCAGCGCGTTATGCGGACCGGATACCAAACACTATTTCCCACAGTTTAGTTCGGGTTCACGTGTCCTATGCTCGTTACCGAGAAGTGCATTATTCCTGCTGTTTCAACAATCCGTTGCTTCGGAGATGCGATATTCCCCGTTGTTACGTAACGCTTCTAACAGTTCGTTGTACTGTATTGTTACTTCCTACACAACAGTCTGTTATTGCATTTCCATGGAAGTAAACCTTCCGGATTCCAAAAACAGTATATTTCGTTGGTTCTTATGCTGCTTATTTGTTTATTTACGCTCAGTCCGTATAGCGACGGGCTACGGACCGGACTCTAGAGTTCGATTCCCGGCCCGAGCGAGAGATTTTTCTCTTCTCCGCAGCGTCCAGACTGACTTTGGGGTCCACGCAGCCTCCTATGCAGAGGATACCGGGGGCCCTTTCCCGGGGGTAAACCGGCCAGGATGTGAAGATGACCACTCACGTGCATCTAGTGCCGAGGTTAAGAATGTTGGAACAATACCTCCACTCCCCTATATTTCTTCATGGCGTAGTGCTTAATCAATTAAGCGCAGGGACAACTTAAATTTTACCCTTATATAATGGCGCTGTCAGAAGCTCAGATTATGAAAGCGTTGGTTGATATGATTATCAGTGAATAATGAATTCATGACCATGAGGTACTGTGTCCGGGGGATTGGGAAGAATCTCGAAGAACCTCGCAGTCGGAATAGCTGGAGTCGTGGCCGCTAAACGAAACCAGAACCTCCCGAATAGGATTCTAGACCGTTATTACTATGCCAACCCTCCCGGGCTGAATGTGTTCACCCCGCAAGGATTCAGTGAACTGAACAGACCAATCCCTGAGAAAAGGGAGCACCCACAGCTGATGAGGAAGGTAAAAAGGTAAAGTTGTCCCTGTGCTTAACTAATTAAGCACTACGCCATGAAGACGCATGGGGGAGTAGACGTATAGATCCACATTTTCTTGACCTTGTCACACTAGTTGGAGGTGAGTGGTCAGCTTCACGCCCCAGCCGATTTACTCTCAGGGAAAGAGCCCCCGGTACACATTGGGTAGCAGGCTGGGTGGACCCCAGAGCCAGTCTGGACGATTTGAAGGAGAGAAAATTCTTGCCCCCATCGAGACTCGAACTCCGACCCCTCTGTCGTCCAGCCTGTAGCCAGTCGCTATACCGACGACGCTATCCCGGCTCCTCCCGGGCAGAAGTTCATCTAAAAATATTAATAACTTTGGTTCGTACTTCACAGGAAACACATTACCTCTCCACTAACTGGTTAATGCTACGAGATGTGATCACAGTGTATTCTAGGAACCATACGAGACACCTGAATGCACTCTGTGGACAGAATACAAAGATTTCCTTACTGTTAAGGAACGCGGTACATAACGAGTAGAGTACAGATTGGGCTTCCAACAGATTAACATGAATCTGTTGGTTGAACGCGAACTGAAGCGCTTCACCTAACCGGTTTTATAGCGGTGTCGCTCTTTATATGTGGGAGACGCTCGGTTCGAATTTATGTCTGGGCACAAGCTATCCTGGCTGGAGTTTTCGTGTTTTTTCTCAGTCTCTCCAGGAGAATGCCTGGAATAGTATGTCGCTTATGACATCATGGCTCCGTTCTAAATTCCGCCTAATTTAAATTCTGACTTCATAAAATGAATCATATACAAGCTCACTGACATTCAAGATAAAACCCAATGGCGGTCTTGGTATTAGAGTTTTTCTGATCTTTGAGCTCTGTTACCACAGAATTTGTTAATTAGTTGGTAGCCAGTCAGTCATTTCGTAAGTATTAGAACATTATAGATAACACACAGAGATACTGGGTTTTCGGACTTTGTCCATCGTCCAGATTCTAAATAACTAAGGAAAAAAACACTTTTCGGAAACTGGATCTCTTTCCGTCCTCAGGTGAGGGAAGACACCTACTCTGTTTGGTCCCTTAGAAAGAGCCAGCTTCAATCACTGCCAGAACGCATGACAAAATCAAGAATACAACAGGTGTTACTGAGTAATGGCTTTGNAGTTTCCGAAACGTGTTTTGTTTTCTTAGTTGTTTAGAATCCGGACGATGGACAAAGTCCGAAACCCCAGTATCTCTGTGTGTTATACACCATCGTCAGAACCCTATAGTATCTAATTACAGATAATGTACACCAGAACATAGTGCCTCCGTGTACAAGCATCGTATTGATACTTGTACACGGAGGCACCCCTGGTCACGATGACCGTTTACAATGTGGACGCCTAACCACATGGATCCATGTAATGATAATGATAATGATAATGATGTAGCTTAACGCTGAACTGGGCACCATAACTTTGAAACTTTAAAACCTGGCATACATGATTTTTAAAAACTTTAATAATTTAAAATAGTTTTAATACATTTTTCAATACTTTTTAATGCCAAGTCAACATACTTGTATAATATATTTTTTCAACGTATCCTAGGTATATTTTATATACTTAATTTCAATATTTATATTTAACTCGAGGCGCAACTCTGTGTCACAGTGTATGTATGACAAGTTGCATTATATATGGATCTATATTAGGAATTCAATAACCCTGGAAATATTCTTGTATCACTGCCTGATGATGGTCCTGACACCGAAACATATAAAAGAAAAGTAGATAAGTAAAGCTATCCCTGTAACAGGCCTTGGAGGTCCATAGGGTTCTGAGACGTGGAGGTTCCCACATTTTCTAGACAATAGGCTGACAGATGGCGGTGAGGTTATCAGCCTTACACGCCGGCCACCCTTTACCGCCCAGGAAGATTCCTGGTACTCATTTCTGTTAGAGGCTGAGTCGACACCAGGGCCATAGTGCGGCTGGGAGGTTTAGTTCAACTGAAAAAAATCCACCTCATCTGGAAACATGTAGCAGGAAATAAATATTCAGTTATAAAATACTGGTTGAATATAAATCACTTTGTTGTGGCGAAGGCCAACCTAACTAAATACGTTTGGGATACGTAACAGGATGCACAATGTGAAGATATTTCGTTAAAGGAAGACTAATTTTACAATACCAGTCACGTGGAGTGCTAGATTTCCGCCTCTCTTCCCCTATCCGTTCCAAAAAGGAGCCATAGCTGTATCTACGTGAAAATAATTGCCACGTCAGCGACAGGGATGGGATTAGTCGACTCCCTTGCTGGTAGTCTTCGTATTGTCCTTCTTGATGTGACCACGCTAACAGTGCTAGAAGAGTGAAGCATGTAGTTCTCTCTGCCCGTCTGCTGCGTTTATCGCGTCTCTAAGTCCAAATAGTCCCCTCAACTCCTTTCTCCACAAAATCTTCAATCTGTATCTCCCAGCACAGTGACAGACCAAGCTCTACATCTCTGTTTGCCATCTGCCTTCAGGCTGGTTTCCTGCTCGGCTAATTCTTCGACCCTGAAGTTGGAGGTGAATTTCGGTTGACTTGCAATGAACTCTTCAACAGGTGAAAATGTATTAAGAATTTGGTCTTCAATATTATGGAAATGGCTGATCACGGTGGCCTTACAGTCTAAGGCGTGAAATGTCTTCGCTCGCTCGAACACTGGGATAGTGGTTACTATAGGATTCTGACGATGGTGTATAACACACTGATATATTGGGTTTTTGGACTTTATCCATCGTCCTGGTTTTTAAGATAACTAATAAAAACACGACGTTTCGGAAACTGGATCTGTTTCCGTCCTCAGGTGAAGGAAAACACCTATTCTGTTGGGTCCGTTAGAAAGAGCTAAAAGAAGGGTAAATACCGGGTCCATACCGGTTATACAAGTAGTTACTATAGGATTCTGACGATGGTGTATAACACACTGATATATTGGGTTTTTGGACTTTATCCATCGTCCTGGACCCAACAGAATAGGTGTTTTCCTTCACCTGAGGACGGAAACAGATCCAGTTTCCGAAAAGTCGTGTTTTTATTAGTTATCTTAGAACCAGGACGATGGATAAAGTCCAGAAACCCAATATATCACTGGGATAGGGGGTTCGCATCCCACTCAAGGCATGAACGTCTGTTTGCCTTTATTCTGCGTTTGTGTTAGGTAGCGACCTTGCGACGGACTTCTCCCCCGTCCAAGGAGTCCTACCGACCAGGACACGTTCACGGGCTTGCGCTGAAATCGATATTGCTGCAGGAAGTGTGTCTGCTCACCTACGCGAAGAATCTGCTGCGCAGAAAGGGACTTATTTTCATTGCGTGGCTAGATTCCGCTTGGCCGTGAAATGCCGCTGATTCATACAGCCAAGGACACTGGGATATATTTTCACGCGACCAAGCCTAAAACTTATGACGTCATCTCTACGGTATTAGATACTAAGCTCCCAGCAAAGGACGTCACTCTCGGCACAAAGAACTATGAACTTCAGCGGGCAGTTAATGACATTTTGGCTCTTAAACCGTGGTTCGCACCCCATGTCTTGCTAACGAGAAAGAGACTGGTCAGGAAATACAGCATTTCACGATATACGAGCGAGAGACAGTAAACAGGTCATGAATGGAAGTAAACATCTGTAATGGACGTAATAGGTTTCTATATGTATCACTAGGTAGCAGCACAGTCCACCTTCATGACACTGTAAGTAGCAGACGCGCATGCGCATGTTCAGAGGCTAGTGTAAGCTGTGAAAATTGTGCCCGTGCGTGAGGTTTGTACTACCGAAGAGCAAGTTCTGTTATGCATTTTTCTGTGGGCAGAAGGACTCTATGCAAAGGATATTCATGAAAAAGTGTTTACTGCTTACGGTGGGAAGTATCTATCGTGTAAAGCAGTTCATAACCGGGTGGCAAACTTTTTTCGGATTTCTAAGATGTTAAAACGGAGGTGCAGAAGTGGCTAAAACAGCAGTCAAAAGACTTCTGTACTGCGGATTTCGACGCACTGGTAAAGCAATGGGAGAAGTGTGTCAGTGTTTGAGGATGATATGTCGAGAAATACATGTTTTTTTTTCCCCAGTTTCTAATATCACATGTTTACGTTTTATGTGCACTTATGCCCTATTTCGTGACTCTCCCTCGTATAGACCATTTAAAGAGCACTGTATTCTGGCATGTGACGCCTTGTCTTGTGGTATAAATTCGTCGACTTTGCAGACTTGCGTGTAGCGTCCATCTTCATAGCCGCGGCGAGCTTGCTGGTTGCTTCTTTCTGACTTCTTGCTTGGCTTAGTCTTTGACTCTGAAGATGGAAGCAGTAAGTTCCTCCGAAACGAACCTCTACCGAGTACGCGGCATCACATCCCATAAGTATCCGCTCTGGTGAAAGTAAAGTTATCCCTTTGCTTAACTAATTAAGCATCATGCCATGAAGACGTATGGGGGAGCGGATGCATAGATCCACTTTTCTTTACCTCGGCGCTATCTACAGGTGACTGGTCAGCTTCAGGCCCCGGGAGCTTTACACCCGGGGAAACAACCCCGGTACCCATCGGGTAGGAGGTTGAGTTTACCCTTGACGCTGTTGAGAAGAGAAACCCCCTCTTACCCCTGCCGGCAATCGAACCTCGATTCATCGGTTGTTCATCGCGTAGCCTAATCCGTATACCGACTGAGCTATCGCCGCTCCTATACTTACCGTTGTGAGAACCGCTGATTCAACAAAGAATGTTGTCGTTTGCGAGACTTCGCGTGCAATAAGTGGGACGTGTTCCACCGGTTGAGAAGCAGTGGTGTAAATAACTGGTATGAAAACGGGACAAGAGGTGCTTCATCAGGTGAGAAGACCAAGCAATTCGACATGTTTATTTGGACACAGTAAACATAAATGACCTTGCTTTTTGTACTGTGTGGTTTGTAATGTGAATTCGCATAGTCACTCTAATTAATTACTTGTATGCTGTCCACTTAGCGCAGCGAACAACAACAGATTATAAAAACAGCTGTTTTCTCTTACCTTGTCTGTCGTTCTCTTACAGACGAAGTTCCACATATGATCCAATCGTGGTTGTATTACCATAACCGTTCGTCATCGAAAGAAAATACGGATTACTGCTCTGAAAATTTTCATCGACCATCAGAGTGGCCACGCGTTCTAAGGCATGAACTGACTTCCCCCGCTCGACCGATGTCTGTCCGTTTTTAGTGTGTGTTTGTGTTGTCCTGTGTGTAGGTATCGGCCTTGCGACAGGGCTGATCTCCCGTCCAAGGAATTCCACCGACTGTCTATAATGCCGGCGCTACACGATGCTACGAACACCCTCCAACGTTCGNTCCATCCAGTTCCAGAATAATTCTGATGGGATAAAAGTCAGAGGGCCGAAAGCGAAAGGTTAGAAGATCTTCGTCAAAATAAACATATTTTGTTAGGAAAGCCGGTGTCCTTGCTGAGATTAGAACCGAGTACCTCCCGTACACAAATCTAGAGAGTTAACGGCTACACCAGCCTGTTCGGTGATAATGTTTCGACTTACATGGGATCATCATCAATGTAAGTATCTTTTGTTTGCTTTGTTACGTATGCGTGCTCGTCGGGGCACAGCACAAGGAACGGGTTTGGGCAGTTGTGGCAGGATTACGGCAAGGAAGACGTTTGTCTCCATGGTCAGGTGCCATGCCAGCGACTGGCCTTCCCTCCTGGTGAGCAGATGACGCCAGATGTATCGTCAGACTGGCACTCGCGGATTCAGGTGGCGTTTTATGGTAATTTTACTTTCCCCGAAACGTGTTCTTTCATGACGTCAGAATCCGTATAATGACGTCAGTGCGTGCCCACTTTGCTATCCATAAGGCCATCCAGACCATTGTGTTTCACTGAGCAGCTGACACTAATCTTAAATCTGTGACATATAAATACGTATGATGATGATGATGATGATGATTATTATTATTATTATTATTATTATTATTGCTATTATTGGGGGCACGCGTAGCGTAGTTCGTTGAGGGGCTATGCTACAAGCCGGAAGGTCGCAGGTTCAAGTCCCGATGAGGTCATTGGATTTCTTTCAATTGACTTAATCCTTCCAGCCGCACTATGGCCCTGGGGTCGACTGCCAATCTTCATTCCACAAATTGCTCCAAAATCACCCTCACCTATCANCGGCGCGTAAGGCTGACAATCTTACCGCAATATTTGAGCCGATTGTCTAGAAAATGTCGGACCCTCAACGTCTCACAGCCCTATGGGCATCCATGGCCTGTTACAGGGATAGCTTTTTTTACTTTACTATTATTATTATTAGATTGAAACATCCTGTTGCACTTTATACCTAGTGTCAATTATATTCGATTCGAAAACAAGACACAACAGGAGGGAAAACAACCCACGATTCAACTTCATGCCCCGGCCGATTTACCCCTGGGGAAAGAGCCCCAGGTACCCATTGGATAGGAGGTTGGGTGCGCCCCAGAACCGGTCTGCACGACGTGGAGAAAATTCTTGACCCTACCAGGACTCGAACTGCGACCCCTCGGTCGTCCAGCCAGTCGCTATACCGACTACGCTATCCTAACTCTGTAGGCTGAGATAGCGTCATTAAATACGTCACACTCTGTGGGCTGTGACGCAAGCCATCAGCGGTCCCTTTCGGTTTCGTTGCTGTACTGCAAATGTGTACAGGGAGAACTTAAATAAACTCAGGTACGCAGAGGTCTGTTGCCTCCCGTAACTGTTCCTAGGTCGACTGTGGTAGGGATGTGCGGAAGTACGGACGCTAAGAACAGCTGAATGCAGCGCCGTTCTCAGTGGAGAGAACAAGTGGAATCAGTTCAGCAAGCCACGTTAGACCCACTGCAGGCTGACTGCTTTCTGCATTGCACAGGTACATACAGCTAATTTATGTGGCTTCATTATTTACTCTCTGTGATGGATAAATTAATGTTTGTTTGAAACTAAAAGTGCAAGGATACGTTTATTCGGTTTGGAAGTTATCATTTTATTATGAAGAGTCCTACCTTCTGGGGTTACAGCGCCGGGTATTTCCTGGTTTAAAGAAAAAGCCAAGCAGGAACTCAGCATGATGTAATTAGCTTTGCGTCAGTAGATGACATTTTAGAAATTAATAATTACTTCCTCAGTCATTCACTCTGTAGTCTATAAAGACAATAAAAAATGTGTGATGCCGATTTCTTGCTTGGATTGTTCTTGTAATCTGAAGATGGAAGCGATTTGTTGCTCCGAAATGTCTGTACACTTTTTGCGGACTACACGGCGTTATATGCCAGAAGATAACTCTCCAGTTATGCGTATCGCTAGTTATTTAGATAACGTAATGTAATTGTACCAGTTGTTTATTGGAGCTGGCTACAGGCTGGACGACCGAGGCTTCGGAGTTCGAGTCCCGGTAAGGCCAAGAATTTCCTCCACGTCGTGCAGGCCGTTTCTGGGGCCCATCTAGCCTCCTGTCCAATGGGCACCGGGGCTCTTTCCCTGAGAGTAAATCGGCTGGGGCGTGAAGCTGATCACTCACCTCCAATAAGTGTGACAAGGTCAAGAAAATGTGGATCTATACATCCACTCCCCCATACGGCTTCATGGTATTGTGTCTAATTAGTTAAGCACAGGGAAACTTTGCCCTTTTTACCAGTTGTCTGTGGTATGAAGAACTGTCAATTATCTTGAGTTGTCCTTAAAAATAGTTATTGAAAATCGCGCTTTCTGGCGGGCCCAGTTGAGCAGAAACTATTCCTCATTTTCTCCCAGTGATGCAAACACATCCAGCTCCCGAAACGTCATGTCTCTATAAACATTCAGCACGACTGAAAATGTCCAAAACAGAAATGTTTATCTTTGGGTTTGCTATTATCTCGAAGATAATATTGCTGTTTGTTTATACTGAGACGCTTTATAGTCTTGTATGTTGTTTACTTTTCGTCTCTGAATCTTTCGCAACTTTTACAACATTCATAACAAACATTCCTAGTCTTGGAAAAGAGAAAAGCAGTCTTCTGGGATTTGGCACCGTGTATATGTGGTGTTAACCGACGTTTCGGAGGAACGTATCGCCCCCATCTTCAGGGTAGAAGAAAAAGTATAAGAATTCTGCAAGCGACAACACCGTGAGAAACGGTTTTACCGTTGCCAAATCCCAGAAGACTGCTTTCTTCATAGTCACCGCCGTGAAAGCCTCAAATCTTACATTCCTAGTCTTGTGACAGTAAGCAGTGTTTAAGAGTTTTAACACAGGTTTTACAAAATACAGTGTGCCCGTCGTTTTAGTCAGTTGATTGCTGACTGTGACCGTCATGTAGCATTCGGTTCTGCTCACTTACGTCAGTGTGAATGGCTAAAAACAGAGGCCGCTGCTACCTGTGTTTCCAGACTTGTAGAACATGCTGTATAAGAAGGGAACTGTAAATGTAAACGAGAATTTAGACCTAATTTCATGCAGACATATTGTCATGTGTAGGGGTACGCGTGGCCAAATGACGGGTTCTAGTTCGGATGATTGGTTTTATTAGAAGCTTGGTTACACACTCTCTCTTAATTACACCCTAATACAGCGCTATCGCTGATTTACACACTTTCCAATTCACCGTTACACACCCACTAGGATTCTCAGTCTTCCACTAGTCGTCACCTAGCAACGGATCTCCACATAGAAAGTGTCACTTCAAATCACTCCAAATATAAATCTTCCAATTACACTTCCATTATCACTTGACATCCTCACAGGTCGACTTCCTGTATTCTTTGTTCCTGGTTCCACTGTGTTTGCTTCTGCCACTCTCAGATACTTCCCGAATTCTGACATCTGTTCTCTAAGCCAGTCAGTCAGCAAGTCTTGGTGTCGAGCCCCGTCTGGGGCTCATGACCAGGTATTTATTACTGTTTGACAGTTACGGTCTTGCTTTTGTGGGGCGCCCTCTCTCACGAGAGGACGGGTCTGTCTTTTACATATGCTGCTGGTCCTTGCCAGCGCAATATTTCTCTGGTCCAAGTCCCTTGGGGCTCGCGGCCATATTTTCCTGTCTCAGATATGAGACCTCCCCTTCCCTCGCCTCCTACGACTCGCAGGGTCACGGTCGTCACCGTGGAGATATCGGACGCCGCCTCCACACGGACATCACTCGACATCTGTTCTGTCTGTAACTGTCGATATATAGCCTCCGCATTGACCACGCAGAAAACAGCCTATATTGCTGGAACTTGTTAGCCGACCGATTGCATAGCAACGGTCGCGGCACGGACTTCATAAAAAACGCCGCACTCCCATTGTTGTCTTGCGTGTATTCGGTCGCGAAGTGTTTCGCAGTCAGTTACCTAGCAACGTGGTGTCCATCGACGTTACAATATATTTTAACTGTATAAATGAGAGTCAGAATCATACAGAATGGCTGCACCAGTAATGTACCTCTGGTTTCGTCACAGCGGTGTCTTGAAAACTTAGCTTTCAAAATATTTCCACGTGTAGGGGGGTAGGCGCGACGAAAATGACGGGTTCTAGTTCGCATGGTTGGATTTATTAGTACCTTGGTTACAATCTCTCTTAATCACATTTAAATACAGCGCTAGCGCTGATTACACACACACTGGACCTCCCCTGGTACCATAGCCAAAGCGCAGGAACTACAACAGTCTCACTGAATCACACACTGCAAGTAGTACACATGAATAAAACCTAATCACACTTTAAGTGTTCACAGGTCGACGAACTTTCCGTGGTTACCGAGAACTCAGAACTGAATCTTAGCGCCGTTTGTTTTCAAGATAACTCCTTTGCAGGAACCCCACGGAAAACACAACCTCTACTGTTGAAACGTGTTTACCGAGCCGTTGCTTAGGAACGGTCGCGGCGCGAACCCCATAGAATACAATCTCCGTTGTTGAGATTTCTTTACCGAGTCGTTGCTTAGCAACGCTCTGACCCCGTTACAGCGGTAAGAACGGTAGTGCTTGTTACTTTTTCTGGAAAGGTAACCGATTCGAATCTTGGGAAGGTTTGGGATTGTTTCGACGGAAAGTTTTCGAGTTTCTTTTTAGCCTCTACGTCCGAATTCCACTATAATATTTTCAAGCCGGCCATTATCGCCTTCAAAGTCCTTATCATTTAGTCGTTCAAGCTGAACTCTCCATAATATTATATGTGATATCATCTCTGAAGTTAAAATAACGTTCTTAATAACAAATATATTGTCACGATTTAGGTGTGTGACTATAGACGGAGTTTGGATAGGTGAACGGATTTATTGACCACTTATACACACAACTCGGAAATGCAAGTAATTACAGCGCCACCGCTAATATCCACAGTTCATAAATCCCCACAGCATTCGCTAAGCAATTTCCAGCCTGCTGTGTCTTCCCCAACCGTTCCCTGGTAACGGCTTCTAATAGTGGAAATTCTTCAGCTTCACGCGCTCAGGTCCTATCTTCACAGCCTCCTTTGAAGAACTCAACTCTCAAGTTACCAGCCATTTCACACCAACGTCCTAGTCTTCTCTTACAGACTGACTAACAACTTACAACACAACTATAGCGTCATCTCTTCTCAGCCTCCTTGCTGAACTCAACTCATCGGCGCGGACCGAATAGAAAACACCGTTCCCAACAATAACTATTGTAGAGGCGTGTTTGCCGATCCGTTGCTTATAAACTGGTTGCAGAACACCGTTGGTCTAATGTTACAGGCGTTACCTAGCAACGGCCGCTGTTTACAGAGTCACTGCTTGGCAACGGCTTTATTCCACATATAATATACTGGCTTAAATGTTGTCTTTTTGTGGGTTATATTTGTATGTTAATATATATTTTATGTTTGAGACTGAGGAACATGCAAACACACTCACTTTATTTTGAGGTCATATCGTAATCATGAAAGAAATTTATTAGCCAGGCGTTTTAAAGAAGGCATAATATTCCATAGTCACCAGCGCTGGGACCCTGAATATCCTGTGTATATTACATACTTGACAGTCATAGCCTCACCAGGCTTCTACTTGAAATTTGGTACTGGGTACTTCTACTGAATTCCAGTTTCGGTTAAACTCTGATAAAACTAACAGCCATTCTATGCGGCGATATCCATCCTCATCTCTAATATAAATCGTGAAAGAATTGTTTCGAACAGAAGTTATGAAGAAAAATGGAACACATTTATTGTGCCCAGTACACATTTTCTGTTACTCTTAACGATTTTCGTGATAAACAAGAATTCTTACGTCATGCGTACGTCTCTTAGCTACCATATTCAGCCACTGTCTTCCAAACACACGCGAAGGTTGCTGAGCAATCAGCGAAGGTTTCCGAACAGTTGCGAAAGTTACCGAACTCGCATATTCTCGATACTAATTAATTATGTGTTCTTTTAAATTGGTAGCTCTATATATATATTTAACTAAATATAATTTTACGCGAGCGTAAATACTATTTGAGATAAATACTTCAGCACAGATGCTGGAATCTAATTTATTTACACTCTATATTTTGAAATCTTCCGTTAAATGAACATCCCTTTTTCTGAATTATATATGGTTGTTAGCAGAACCCTAAAATTATACAAGACCTATGAAGACTTAGAGTACTCGTCGAATTCCTCTGAAACGTCCATAAATTTTACTTTTGGCACGGTACATTGTCCACAAGAAGAGGTGGGACAGCTCAATCGGTATAGCGACAGGCTACAGGCTGGACAGTCGGGATTCGATTCCCGGCAGGAGCAAGATATTTCTCCTCTCCACAGTTTGCAGACGTGCTCTGGGGCTCACGCCGCCTCCTATTCAGTTCGTACCGGTTGCTCTTTCCCTGACCCCTCACCTCCATGTAGTGCCGCAGGCAATANCTCTATATATATGTAACTAAATATAATTTTACGCGAGCGTAAATACTATTTGAGATAAATACTTCAGCACAGATGCTGGAATCTAATTTATTTACTCTCTATATTTTGAAATCTTCTGTTAAATGAACATCCCTTTTTCTGAATTATATATGGTTGTTAGCAGAACCCTAAAATTATACAAGACCTATGAAGACTTAGAGTACTCGTCGAATTCCTCTGAAACGTCCATAAATTTTACTTTTGGCACGGTACATTGTCCACAAGAAGAGGTGGGACAGCTCAATCGGTATAGCGACAGGCTACAGGCTGGACAGTCGGGATTCGATTCCCGGCAGGAGCAAGATATTTCTCCTCTCCACAGTTTGCAGACGTGCTCTGGGGCTCACGCCGCCTCCTATTCAATTCGTACCGGTTGCTCTTTCCCTGACCCCTCACCTCCATGTAGTGCCGCAGGCAATAGTGGTGCAGCTATGCCTCCTCTCCCCTATATGTACTAATGTCGTAGGGCTTAATCAAGCACAGAGACAGCCTTATATTTTGCAATGTCTACAAGACTGTAAGGGGGCCCATACACGTACGAGTCTGGCTCGCGAGTCCGACTCGGCTCGGGTTCCAATGAGCCAAACCCGTACGTTATGGTCCGCCTAAGTCGTAATTCTTAGAAGGGTTTTATGACAAGGATGTTTCTTGCAGAGAAGCGTTGTCATGGAGACCGGTGAGGTTCCATGCTTGGACTTGACACAGCTAGCCCAACTGCTCGTGTGTCCAGAATGCCTGAACCTGCTGTTGCCACCGACTTCGATCTGCGAGCGGGGACACACTTTCTGCGGATTTTGCAGGGTGATACTTGAGAAGTGTCCCGCCTGTGAGGGGCAGTTTCTGGAACACGCCCGTAACATTCCTGTCGAAGAGATTTGCACGATTGTGGGCAACAAATGCCCATATTCTGAGAGCGGTTGCACCTGCACACTGACACAAGCATTACTGCCCCTCCACGTGTCAAAATGTTTGCACAGAGGAGTAGTCTGTCCTCTCAACAAAATCCCTGATCACAGTTGTTCATGGTTGGGTGTCCTCAAGGATCTTGAATCCCATTTGAAGAACGTGCATGGAAACATGATATCTGACAGGAATTACATTACGAGCAATGTTTTTCAAAGCGACGCTAAAATTATACTCCATAAAAATGAGATATTTATATTTTGCAGGTACCTCAAAGGCAGTGAATGGTTTGCAATTATACAAAGAGCAGGGTGCACTGAACATAAATTCAAAAGCGTTTTTAGAATCTGGACGTCACAAAACAAGCTTGAATTTATCAGCATGACCTTCACTGTTACCAATATCAACGAAAACATAGATGATGTGTTTGAAGAAGGGCGCAGTATGATTTTAGATGATATCGTTGTCAAGAACTTCGTAACGGGCGGTGATCTTAGCATGATGACTGTTGTTGAAGAGGCTAAATAGTTTGCAGTGTTGCTGGAAACCGCAATTACTGCATTAAAATTTGATTGAGCGGTATGGAAACTTCTTGGATTCCCGAAGGAAGACGCTTCTGACTTTGAAAGAGCCTGTTATGTAACTTCTCAGGCAGATGTACTTTTGTCGTGTAAATGGAGACGTTTAAGGCTCTTCAAATCTCCAAAAGTTTCTTCCAAATCAAAACTGTTACAGCCAAGCATAATAAATAAATGCACAAACAGCCATTTAATTCTGCAGGTGTTGTGTTGTAGTACAGCGGATATTAATGTTGTTTGTACAACAGTAATTAAATACTAAGTTCCTTGCTCTGTGAAAATGTAGATCGTTCAGATATGTGAAAATGATACCCGTTTGGTGGAAAACATATACGTTTAATATTTGGTTATTGACTGTTAAAAGGCAGGTGGTACACATCAACTGCCATTTATCTATGACGAGTTTCTGTAGCAATTTTATTTTATAGCTGACGACTTAAGGGGGAATTTTATTACAAAAGTACTTAATAATATATGTGAAATTACTTTCAACATGAATTTGATTCAATGTATTTTTTTTCATATACGATTGTAGAAACATGGTTGCATCTCTCGTAAATCAAATTCTTCTGTTAACCTCTTTAACTATGCTTTTATCTCCTCTTGCTCTTAAAAATCTCAGCAAAGTTTCCAGCTGTTACATTTTGATAAGGTCCAATTCCACGACTTGCTATTAGCCCATGATTGCTGGAATCCAACATAATTTCAACAGTGAACATAAAATTGCGAACAAGTGGAACAATGTAGACAGTACGTATAAATTTCATTGTTGAGATCATCTGCATATGAATGTTAATGTTAAGTTGTTGTGTCTCTGATAATAAAATATTTTTAAGCGTGGAAAGCATATGCATACTCATTTGGTGAAATGCATGTTCACAACCTAAACCTGCATATTTTCGTCAACGTTAAGTTTATTCCTAAGACTGGCTGCCTTAGTAACGGTAAATCTGTATACTGCAGAGCGTTCATAGGAAGTTAACAGCCACTGAGCTGCTTAAGACATTCTCTGCTCTATTATGGAACCTACAGGCTGTACGATTCGAGCTTCACAAGCTGTCATATCTTCTGAACTCTATGTAGTCAGTTGAAAGTCAGCCGACATTTCAGAGGACTGCACCATCATCTGGGTTCAAGAGTATGTCAAGCAAGAAAGGCCGCGCCATAGCTCAAGCGGTTAATCGCTGGCTTTCCACCGAGGCAGCCGGGGTTCGAGCCCGGGTCTGGTCAAGTGGGATTTGTGGTGGACGTAGTGGCGCTGAGGCAGGTTTTCTCAGAGTACTTGGGTTTCCCCTGCCAATTTTCATTCCACCAAATTCCCCATCATCATAACCACCCGTGGCAGGTACAATAGGCCAAAGAGTGGCCGACGTGCCGAATGGACCCAGTTGGACTCCACCCCCCCACTATGTGAATAAAAAAAAAGTCAAGCAAGAAACCAGTAGGTAGCAGATAACTCTAATTTAGAATATGACATTTTAGAGATTAGTGATTCAACCTTACTCAATCCTTTGCCTGTAGTCCATAAAGACGGCAATAAAATGTATCTACTTCAAGTTGGTTTCTTGCTTGGCCAATTATTTGAATCGGAAGATGGAAGCGATATGTTACTCTGAAACGTCGGTTCACTTCCAACTGACTAGATGGCCTATACACATTCATTTCCGTTTTAAAAGCTACTTTATTTGCTATTACTACTTTACGCAAAACAAATTGAATTAAAAATTAACCATTAGAAATTGCTACATGTTCGACTGTACTCGGTCATCTTCAGGCAACTGTCCAACTTGTCAGAATTGCTACGCTGTATTTTCAGTGCAATTTTTTTTCCTTGGCACTACAGCCCCAGTGGGCCTAGGCCTACCTCCGTGAACTTCTCCGTTCTCTTCGGTTTTTCTAGATCTTACACGTTCGGTAGGACTCCTTGGGCGGGTGATCAGCTAGTCGCAAGGCCTCTACCTGTACACAAATACAGAAAAACGCACACACACAAAGTAAACATCCATGCCCTCAGTGGGATTCGAACCTACAATCTCGGTTTTCAAGCGAGCGAAGACAGTACATGCCTTAGACCGCTCGGCTACCGTGACCGGCTTTCAGTGCAATTAAGATCAGTTATTTCCTAAATTAAAATATTTGTGTTTTCCACTTTGGCCATCCACTCATTGAGAAAGCATTTGTTGAAGAACATAACTCGTTACGTTTTCATACACTGCTGCCTTCTGCTGCGTCAGTGTTTTGCGTGTTATTTGTGTAGTGTTATCTTTTTATATGTGCCTGATTGGCTTGTATGTCTCTACGCCATTGGACTAGCTGAGTTTATCTCACATTATTTTTATGTAAAGGAGTACATGTAAATAAAGTTGCATTTAAGACAGAAGCGAATGTATGTAGGTCGTACGTTAATGGAAGAGGATGTTGAAATAACAATATTGTCACGTGTAGGGGGGTATGCGTGACGAAGTGACGGGTTCTAGTTCGGATGATTAGATTTATTAACATCTTGGTTACACGTTCTCCCTTAATCACACTTCATAATTCACTGTTGCACGCACACACTAATCCTCTCCGGGTAACATATCTCAACACCGAAATTAGCGCTTCAAATCACTCCAAATATTGCACATAATTAAGGTCTTCAAATCACACTTTACGTAAATCTTCACACGTCTCCTACGAACTTCCCGTTGCTGTAATGCTTACTCTTATTTAAGGGCCGCGCTATAGCTCAAGCGGTTAGTCGCTGGCTTCCCACCGCGGCAGCCCGGGTTCGATCCCGGGTCTGGTCAAGTGGGATTTGTGGTGGACAAAGTGGCGCTGGGGCAGGTTATCTTTGAGTACTTCGGTTTCCCCTGCCAGTCTTCATTCCACCAATTGTTCCACAGTCACCCTCACCTATCATCTGGGGCTGGTACAATAGGCCAGAAGTGGCCGCAGGGCAAGAGACTTAGTCCCACCTCTCTAGCAATAAAAAAAATACTCTTATTTAAACACTCTCAAACACACTCAGATACTCCCTTCTCTTCTGTCTCTAAATGTTGTTATATATAATTTCTTTATTAGAATCCGTCACAACATAATATAAAGGTCAAGGCTAAAATTAGCTTAGCTACATGTTTCGGCTATGAAAGCCATCATGAAGCAAACACATGATTACCATATTCACACACCACAAAACTGCAATTGCGACGGTGTCCGTTCTGTAGGGAATATAATTTGAAACTCAACTCATATATTCCCTACAGAACGGACAAAATACATTGTAAGATGAGGCACCGGCCAAACAGTTAACGTCAATAAATCTATACCACGGCCCTCCAAGTTGTACTACCAGTCACTCTCACGTACTCGTCATCTTTCATTCTCCATTCTACATTACCGGTTCCTCCTCTACCTGCAGTCTCTTTTTCCGTTTTGGAGGGGGTCGACCCCTCCAAAAGGTCCAATCCACATTTTGTCACTCCGGAGGAACAACGTCGAGTCTCTCCGCAACCCGCCGAACATCCCGGTTGCTTTCTTCACGAATTCCAGTCCTAAAGACCTCCTGTCGAAACCCTCCCAATGTCCTCTCGACCTTAAGATGTACATGCCCTGTTGTGCATCGGTTCTTTATCCCACTCTTTCATCCCGGGCCCTTGTAACTTTTCTACCCGATCGTCCGTCTCTTGGTGGTTTTCGGTGCGACCTTGTTGTTGTTTTGTTGCATATGCCTGTGTCATCTTCCTCCTGGAAGCGGTTACTTCTTTCTGCGGTCCACAATTTCCGTGGGTCAGAAATGCTCTGAAGATGTTCCTCTTGCGCCATGCCACTGTTGCACGGCGGGACACCTTCCTGCAGGCGGCAGCCAACTTCAACCGGGATCCACAATCTCCTTGGGTCAGTTCCTTTGGCTCTCCACGTCGCCCTGCAGCTTGCTTCTTGCCCCCTATGCCACTTCTTCCTTCTTTTGACTGGTTTCACCACTGCAGCTTCCTTGGGGACTTCTTGATGCTTCACTACGGACTGCATCATTTCTGGGTCGGGATCCATCTTCTCTACATCTGCCTCCATCGCTTCTTGGCATGCCCTTAGGGAGTGAACTGCAACCTCTTCGTTACGAATCTTCTGCCACTCCACTACAGCCTCTTTTTCTCTTGGACTTGTCTCAATCTTCTCTGCATCTGCCTCCACTGCATCTTGGCATGCCCTTAGGGACTGAACTGCAACCTCTTCGTTAGGAATCTTCTGCCGCTCCACTACAGCCTCTTTTTCTCTTGGATTTTTTTTCTCAGTCTTCACTAGATTTGCCTCCACTTCATCTTGGCAGGCTGTCGTCGCTTCCTGCTAGACATTCATATTGGCGATCAACCTCTTGTCTCGCATGGCCGCCGCCCTTGCTTCGATGGCTCTCGTTTCTGCGGCCATCTTTTCTCGTCAGGCTTTCGTGTCGGCCCTCAGTTCTTTCAGCAGGAATTACATCATCTGCTGTGTCTCATTTTTTTTTTCGTGTGGCAGGATAACACCTGATGCGCTCGGAGATTCAATTATTCATCCTAGATCGAGGCGTGTTTAAGTTCGTAACCAATTCTAACACCAAATATGTCACGTTTATGGGGTACGCGTGACGAAATGACGGGTTCAGGTTCGGATGATTGGATTTATTAACAGCATGGTTACACGCACTCTCAGTTTCACTGAAATCACAGCTCTTTCGATGATTTGCATACACCTCATAATCCACTGTTACACGCACCGTCGCACACATGAAGTCTTCTAAATCACACTTGACATCCTCACAGGGAACTCTGTGTATTCCTTGATCCGCTTCGCTTGGTTTCACCACGCTCAACTGCTCGTAACTCATACTGAATACTGGCTCAACAGTCGGAGTCAGAGTTATTTTACGCTGGCGGTTTACCGCCAATCATTTCGTCTTGGCGTCAGACCCCTTGAGGCCCACGACCAGAGATTTTTTTCAACTGAACTCTTGCGGTAATAGTCCTTATGTAACATTCTCCCTGACGAGAAGATGGGGTCTGTCTCTTATGAATACACTCGACCTTTCGTCAAGTGTATATTTCGTTCGGTAAACACTACCCCACCTCCAGCGGTGACGTAACAGCACTTCCCATTGTGACGTAACAGTGGACACCGCGGTTACTACGCAACAATAAACAACTCTCGGCAGCGTTCCCCAGCAACGCCCGTAAACACGACGTTACGCAAAAGTGGTAGATATGACATAACTCTTTTCTGTGTTGTAAGTGCGGAAGCTACTTAACAGGAGTATTCGTCAGTGAGAAGCAGTAACCACTCAGTTAGAGTCTAGCATTTGCCGGAGTGAATGGAGAAGTAATTGTGATACTGCAGATGGCAGCACTTGTGAAATTGTAAGAGCGAATGTGCAATAAATTCGCTGTATCCAAGACGGCTTGAAGTTATTTGTCGCGTGACATACCCACCACGTGACAATATGTTATCGAAAACTCTTCCTTTTGCTTTACACACAAGTCCTCTGTCAGTACAGGCTTTAAGCGCAGATCATGCCTAACTTACATATCTTATGATACAATGAAAACTTAGTCAT